CCCCTTCCCTTTCACGTAACAGGGGGAAAAAAAGAAATTCTGTTGTTATGAAATGTGTTGGCATGTGGTTTGACTCCTGTGCTGGTTTCAGTTGATTAGGTTCTATGTTTCAAAGAAATGATTAAAATTTGAAATGACAGGTATAATTTCTGTTATATTTATAAATGTACATAAGACCAGGTATCTTTTTAAAAAGTGTTTCCACTTTGAAGGTTAGGAAGATACTAGGCTGCATAGGAATATCTTTAGCTTGTTGTTCTGTCTTTGCTATCCCCTTCCAGTGAGATAAAACCATGGCTACTATTGATTTCTGTTAGTGTTGCTTCTTAGTGAATTAGTGGGGAAAGCATGTTTGCTTCATTTATTAAACTTTTGCTTACCTTGTATTTCTGGGTATTGTACCATATAAAGCAGTGCCCAGAGAAGGGTTGTACTTGTAGTTTCTGTCCCTCCCAGCAGAAGATCGACCACAGTCTGAACCATATTGTCTTTATTAAACGTAGAAGTAGGGTCATCTTTGGTCTGTGGGGTATATTCACAAGAAAACTATGAAGTGGATAATTTCAGATGTTTCTTCAGTCATGTAGAAATTGTTTGATGAAAACAGTGAGCAGCCCACTAAAACAAAAATCTTCAGTGCTAAATAAACAAAGCGTGCATATAAAAAAAATCTGTGGCAGTTACTTGAAAAGCAAGTGTTTATAGTAGGCATTGAGACCAAGGAGAGGATAGTGTGACAAACAGGTACTTACTTTTGTTATTTGAGCCAGGTAGAAGTTAATGAGATCCTGTGGGTCACTTGCTTTCTCTCTCTCGTGAATCTGGACCTCCTCCATTACTAAACTGTGCATGAAGTTGTTGTATGCAAACACTTTCTGATGAGGTCCTGGGATATGGTTCATAAGCCATGGGAAAGCATCATACATCTGTGATTTTCAACAAAAAGGAAGAAACACAAGCTCTTGTAAATAGAGAACCCTGTCCTGATAACTCTGTGAAGTCACTGCAACACGTGGGCTGCTATTAGGATGAGACACAATAGACACAAGCTGGAATAGGGGAAATTCTGGGTGGACGTAAGAACATGTTATTTATTTATTTATTTGGTGGTGGTGGTTCTTTTGTTTGTGGTGTTGGGTTTTTTTCTAGTTCTGGGGTGTTCGTTTGTTAATCTTTCTCCTGGTAAAATAAAACAAATACTGGGAGCAGGTTTCCCAGAGAGTCTGTGTGAAATCTCCGTCCTTGGACATTTGACCAGACAAGTCCTTAAACGACTTGATCTGATCTAACCAGGCCTGCTTTGAGCACGGAGTTGACGTGCAAAGGTCCCTTCCAATATTAATTACTCTACATTTCAAAGAGGGATTATAAACACTTTACATTGCCCTTTAAGTGAACTGGCATGGAGGATAACTTGTCTGATATTTGTTAATGAGCTATTAGTAATACGGAGCAGTATGAATTATTATGATCATGTTGAAGGTCAATATTCAATAGTCATGCTTTCTATCCCTAATAGAGAAGCTGAAGACTGAAAAGGTGTGGAAGCTGACTTGACCGCTGTCTTGGAAAGCTTTCCTCCAGGAGAAACTGGCAAGAGTATTTGAAAAGTATGTTTTTTTCCTATTTCTTTGTATTGTGCGTATGGACTTCAATCTCCAGGACTACTGACAGAGCCTTTGTTTTATTCCTCCTGTGATGAGGAATCTATGGGCCAGTGCAGACTTCTTCCTCATCAGGTGACCAAAATGTCAGCATCACATGATGAGTGATATTGGGTCACAGGAGAGCAGGGGAATGATTATATTTTACTTTTCTGATGCAAGACTAGTAATGCAACAGTCTTCTGAAAGTAGATGAATCAGAGTGATTGAGGGCTGAAGCTGGCTCACAAGCAGATTTTCTCAGCCTTGATTCTTACTCTGACTCTAAAGCATCTCTGTGTGAAAGTGTTGGAGAACCTGATAGTGTTGTGGAATACCAGTGCACCGAAACCTTCACAAAGTAAGCAAAAGTTAGGCTTTCAAGAACTTAAAATCGTTCTTCCTGATGTGCTGAAATGGTCACCTGTATCTTATAAGAAGCTAAGAAAAAACTCAGATCTTGGTGGTCACATCAAGTAACTTGAGAAGGGGGATATCTTAGGACTTTGAAGGCTTAGCTCTTCTGTATTAAGTATTCTGTATTAACTGCACTCCTGTATTCTGAAGACTAAAAGAAAATTAAGTTTTAATAGTTCTTTGATTTTAAGATTTAATAATCTTATATACACAGTACTCTGCAAATGACTGATCATTTGAAATATATAGTTTGGAAATGGATGTAAAACAGTAATCACTTAGAATTTAAATTTTAGGACACACCATTTTCTGACACAAAAAATATGAGGTGTACAAATACACATATATGAGGTATATATGTGATAAATAATGTATGTATTTCTTACTACCCAGTGGCTCACAGAGTAATGGTATGGAAGTGTTTGGGAATAATTGTTACTGGCTTTTAATTTATTGTTTTCAGTTGTGAAGCCCAAATGCACTTCAGGGAATAAGAACCAGAAAACTAGATTCTTACCCTGCCCCAGATAGTAGCTTGAAAGTAGATCACAAAATAAACAGCTTTGATCAGCTTGTTGAAAGATTCATCGTCGCTGGAGAAGCGGTGACCGAAAACAGCAGCACAGATTATATTTGCAATAGCTTGGACAATGGAAGTGTGGGGGTCGAAAGGTTTGCCTGTGAGTATAGGAGGTACCAGTGAATATTTCTGAATAGACTACAGTGAGAAAAATAGTTTTTAACAGTAAAAGTAATAGTATTCCAGCATGTGGAAGACCAGACTACTTCTAGATAAATTAAAAAAAAGTAAACTCTAGTTTAATACAAATTAATTAGATGGATTGTAAGTGCAAGGAATCTTTATTTTCAGTCTGCTATTTGCTCCTGTAAACTGCAATGGCTATCAGTTTTTGAGAAGGCAAACATTAGGTCTCTTTTACCCTCCCTGATTTGTGGTTTGAGTTGTGTGAAACCATAAGGGGTTAATTAGAACATATGCCTTCAAATCTCGAAGCAGTTATTTGAAGCTTGGCAATTAAAAACCAAAATTAACTTCCCCCTTCCCAAAACTAGAAAAAAAAAAATTCAGTTTTAATTTCTTAGTCATGCTGAAATGACTTTTCTCCTTTCGGTTTGTCAAAACTCTCATAATGTGTGTTTTACAGGATGGAGAACAGCTCCTGTTAAAAAGGGTTAAAGCAAACAGAATTCAGCTCCAGAAAAAAATAAAGTACATGTTTCAGTGGCAAGGACAACCACTGAAATACACTGCTATGGACAATGATGACTTACACATCTGAGCAAATACAGTTATTGAATATAAATAATTGTATTTAAGACAATTGTGTTTAGTAATTGAGATGGGCCATTCTGCTCTGTCTAGTGCAAGGAGAGCTGGAGAATGGCCTTAGGCGAGCTGGAGAATGGCCTTAGGCAACTTCTCTCTGTTTTCACATCAGTATGGAACATGATGTGGGTGTGGGATTTGGCTGGCCAGAATATTTATATTTAATTGCTTTATTTTGGTATCTTGCTAAAATTCTATTGGTTTCTATTTCATCCAGACCTTAAAAAGAAGTTTTGTTGGACAACTGAACGATACATTCCTTGTGTCAGGGTCCTCTCTCTGCCAAATCCTAAAGGCCTGCTGTCCTAGAATGACTCGCTTCAGGTCACAAATTGTGTGTTTTATGGAGAAGAACATAATGTTTTTCTATACTCCCAGAATGCAAGAATTGTTACCAGCTGTCCCCAAGACTGTTGATAATAAACATTTTTTTGCTATTCTTATTTCAGAAAACAATTTTATATTGCCCACTGTGCAGACAAAACATTTTTTCTGAAGAATGTGATTAAGAAGCCAGTAAAATGTCCACTAATATGAAAAATATCTGTATTATTTGTAAAAATGTATTGTGAAACTTTTGCTTCCCAGATCTACTGTATTTCAGGGAACGCTCTAAATGTTACTCCTCTAGTGAATTTACCTTTTGTGTTTGCAAAGATGTCCACAAGGTGACAGGCCTCTGTTTGAATTTGATGCTCTAAATTGTTCTTACCCAGTGACAAGGTTCTTATAATTGTCATGACAAAGCGTCTCTGTTGCTTCCAGGTGTGCCCGCTTGTCAGAAAAATACCTGAAGAACGTGGAAATGTTTATTTCATTGCTGGGAAGGGAATTCTTTTCACTGCAGGAGACAGAGTTGGATTTATATAAGTTATATTTCAATAACACATTAGATACCATGGTTTCAGATATTGACTTTTGGTCTCTCACTCTAGGATTTTATGACTTCCAGCTATATAGCTGGTTATAAACGTGACCCTGGACACTGAGTGGTAGTGGGTTTGGATAAGGACAGAACAGCTTTTTTTCTGTAGATGTCTTCTATGTGAACAGTCTTCTGTATTAGAAAGGATAAAACTGGAGGGCAACTCCTCTAGAAAAATATTCCTTTGAATCTATTGGAAAGGAAAAAAGTCAGTAGTATGCTTTGTAAGAGGAGAAACTTTTGTTCTTTCCTTATTATGTTGGCTCTACATGGAACCTTTTTGCTAGGTAAGCCCAGTTATGTGTTTCATAGCAGTAACTCCTGTGTGTGAGCACATACAGGAAAACATCTGTCTTCTTTATGTGTTGTTCATATTTCAATAATGGAACATCTTGTACCTTTCTCACCCATCATATCCCTGTAGAACGGGGTCAGAGGTCTTCCAGAAATTTCCTCTGAATGGGTGATGATGCCATCTTTCACTGCTTTGTATCCATTTAATACAACCACAGGGGTCTGTCCCATCCACAATGTGTAGATATTTCCATAGGTCTTAGTTAACTGAAGAGTCAATGACAATAAATTAATAAATGTAAACCAGGGAAGGCATAACCTTAAATACTAATTTTAAGAGTTTCCTGTAGTTGTAACTAAACCCATTTGCCAATATCTAATTGAATTACAGATTTCAGAAAAATTTAGCCCTCTGTTCTAATTGGCTTTGGGAAGAGAAGATAATCTTACTTTATGGAATAGATACTAAGGCCATTTTTCAGAAGACCACCTCTGAAAATTTCACAGAAAGAGAATCGGGTGTTCCCTGTCAGCTCAGAACCAAAGAACAAATGAATACAGAAAAGAGCTTTTCCTTCTAGAGCTTCTGCTTATTTTATTAATGAACCAAAATTATAACATTTTCTTGCCTCTAACTACAGAAGAAAGCAAAGAAATGTTTTGGCATACTTTTCTATAGCTTCCATGTGATTTTTTTCCAGTTTTTCTGTTGTCTTTCCTCAGATCATACTTGTATTTTTCCTTAAAAGTTTGAAGCAAGTTCTTTATTTTTAAAAATAGTTTCAATTGGTTTATAAATCGATCATGCTGTGACTGTAACAGCAATAATTTTTTTTCTGGTTTGTTTTGGTACTAATCTGTTTACTGCAGACAATAAATCTTTTTTTTTTTCTGTTCAAATAAGAGAAGCATCAGTTTAGAGTATATGTTTGGTCTTCTAGTGGAGATTGGACAACTCATGGCCTGGAGATGTTCCAGTGACACTGGTGTCAGGCAAAGGACGTTCTGCTAGCAGTGGTGTACAGGGCTAGATACCAGCACAGAAACAGAGAATGAAACTGCCGATCGAGAATCATGATATTGACAGTGTGAGTCAATAATGGATGTTATTGTATCCAAGAGAGAAAGAAAATAGCAAGGAGCAAAGCAATTATGGTGTTTATTAATGCAGGGTCCTTGCATTCTTTGAAATTGGCTGATATTCTAGCCTGAGGTTTAAAAAAATATTCCAAGTTTAGCCCGTTCCTGCGCAATGTACAATCTAAGTTAAAATAGATTTAATTTGCAACCACAGTGAAAATAAATAAATACCTCAGTGAGAGCTTCTCGACGGAGTTGGAAGTCCAGCAGCCACAAATTTCCAATGATGGGGAGGGGAACGGGTCCTGGAGGGAGCTGGGTACGCATCCATTGCAGCTTTAGGAACTGCAAAATCAGGAGACATACTGCTAGAGCTATAAAAAATTCAGCAAGCCCCAACATCTTATAAAAATTTTAGCTTCTCAGTGTTTCACTAGTTTTTGGTTGGTTTGTTTGTTTTTTTTTCCTTTGTTCATAAGACTTCCTCTGAAGACTTGAAGTTGTGGAGATGAGTTTGCTTCTATTGAAGTCAAACTCTTTCTAAAAATTGTATGTCTGCTTTAACCATCTCTCTCTCTCGGACAATCTACAGTTTTCCCAAGCTGAAGTCCTTAGAAAACTGAAATATGTGATCCCTTGTAGTTGGCCAAGCCACACCTACCCTCTTATGATCTGTAGTTGTGATCTGTCTCTTTTTTTCACTTAGAATTTTGCTTCTTTCTTAGTACTGATACTGGGTCTAAATGCTGATTATTGAACAGCTATCCAAGGATATCAAATGTCTTGCATAATGGTAACACCTCCTGCAGTTCCCTGTATTTTCATGTTAAACATGAAAATACCAAGGATGGATTATTTATTTCCTTTCTGAAACACTGCAAATATTATGTGGTTTCTTTTATAGAAGAAGAAACATCTACACAACACCTGTCTGTTAGGATATAATCTCTGAGATGAAATTGAATTCATACACAAAGCTAAAAATTGCACCTTTTTTTTTTAAAGTATTAGGAAAATATCCTCTTTCCCCTTTGACCATATTCTAGGTTAAGTTATGACATTATGCAGAACACAAGCGGGAGATTATTGTTCTGTCCAGTGGTTTGTATGATGATTTCAACATTTTACTTTTTTATAATAAAGATTAAAATTTCTTGGTGCAAGTTTTGAAGGTGAAATAATGCACGTGTTCCATTTTACCTCTGAAGAAGAACAAATAATCTGAAGAAAAGGCAAAATTTTTAATCTGTATTGATTTGTGGACCCCCTAAGATTTCCAGGAGAGGTTTGTACCAATATGTAGCAAACTTTAACTTAAGAGGCTTACTTTTTAAATATGTTATTCACTGACTTTGATGTAATTTATGGACTATAGTAGGTTGCTTTGGAAGTTATGTGACTCTCCACCACTGGAAAGCAAACAGAAATAGCATAATTCTGGTGTTGTGGGGCAAGATGATGGGTTTACATAATGTATACAGTCTCTTTTCAGATAACTTTTTAATTATTAATTTGGGACAGGATTTCAGATATCATCTCCCATTTTATCTACTCCTATTGGGATGGCAAAACTGTTTTCTCTTGAAGCTGCTTGTACTAGTTGCTTTTTTCAGCCCCTAGACAATGTAGAAGATTGTTGGAATCTTGTTCATTTGTTGGATCTTGATTGTTGGGATGTAAAAGTATGTTGGAAACATACTCTTGGAATGTTGGAGATCTTGCTGATTTAGAAGTGCAAAGCAATCTGCAGTAGTGAAATGGATGGAGATGACTTAGGGTGCTTGTGTCTTCAAAGTGAATTCTCAGGAATTCTCCTTTGGAATTTAGGAGGAAAAGGAAAGATGATGTACGACTCTCAAACATGTGGAACTTCCCAGGTTGAGTAATATTAGCATGTATTAGCATTGTGCTTCAGACTTTGGTCTAAATACCATCTTTTAGGTGAGCATAAGCCTTAGCTACAATAGATTACATTGCTTATACTATGACCGTAAACCAGGTTTCTCTATCTCTTGATTATTTAGTGTCCTGTGGAACTCTATATGAAGTCATACTATTGATAGTTTTTTTTTTTTTTAATTAGCTGATATATTATATTGGATTTTTCAACACTTCAGTCAAGAACTCAGATAATGTTATATCTTCAAGTATGTATTGGAGATTAAGAAAGTCCATCCAGTTGTGTGAGTTCCTTGTTTTAAAATTTGATCTTAATTTCTCTGAGCAGTCTTGCTGAGTCTGCAGTTTCCAGCTCAAAACTTTTCAGCAAAATCAAGGTTGTTGATGTTATTGTCCTGAAATATAAAGGTTTCATGCTATCCAGGGGTTTCTTAAGAAATTCTGTGAATTTCTGTAAACTTCAAGCAACTATCCGACAGTTACAGGTGTGGGCACTCCTTTCAGGTTTCTAATGAGTTTGGTTTTTATTTTTTTGGAGTGGGTTAATAAAAGAAAATGTGGTAAATACAATCTTGCATCATTCATTCTTAAATAAGATGTAGATGAGCATTTGTATTTTGTTTTTTATTTTAGTGAATTTTAAAAATTCCAGGTTCATACAGGAAATGTAGAGCAGTTTCAAAGAAATGGTGGCACGGCAGCACTAGCTAGCTTTACTTTTCTGAGCAGCCACCATTTGCCTCCTCTGCAGCATTGTGCAGCTCTTTTGCTTTAGTGAGCTGCACATGGAGATGCTTTCCAAAAAGTGTGGAAATGAAGAAGCCACCAGAGGGCAAGGAGCGTGCCTGTGTGCTGCCTCTGTCTGTTCGTTTAGGTTTTGGGGCAGAGAAATGGAAGTAGAAAAGGTTAAGGAGCATCATTTTCAGCAGTATGGTTCTATGAATTTTATGCTTGAAGAGTTAAATAGACAAACTGAGAGAAGCAATTTGAAATTAAATACCTTTTATGGTTTTATCAGTCAGTTCTGACAGTTCCAGGACAAGTTTCCCAAAAACTTCAGTGTTACTGAGTTGTGCTACTGAGCAGTCATTTATCCACTTAATTTTTTGAGTTCCAGTGCTATGTGAGACTTTAAAGTTACCTGATGAGATATCTAACCAACCTGACTTGCCGCTTGCATGCGTCAGAACTTCATTTCTTCGTCTGCTTTTTTTTTTTTTTTCCACTGTTTTGTCTCAGCCAGTCCCATGAAAGTTGGTTGAAAGGAAATGAGTAGTTTGATCTCTCGCTGTGCACAGAATCATTTGCCAAGTTTTCAAGTTTTGGAACAGTGAAAGGTGTTGATGAATGTATGCCATCAAGGAAGGTATGACTTACTTCAAAATTACCAGAATTAAGGTGAATTAAGCCTTGAAATTACCTATTAATAATGGTGATTACGATGAAACTTAAAAGAAAAAGAAAAAAACCCTATTGTGTAATATTAAAATTCTGGTGAGCTTCTGTATAGGTCTGGTACTGTACTCCATTTGGATTGAATTATTTGGTCATAAATCTGTGTTCTTATTACCATAATTAGTTAATTTGACATAATGACCTCTTAAACATATGAGGCTTCTCCATTACTAGCAAGGTCCCCTCTCTTTGCTGCATACTTTCCATCGCAGTACTGTAGAGCACCCCATGTGGGTGGTCTTGCTGCTTTCTCAGTGACCCTACCCTTCTGCCTGCCCTCTGCTCCCTTAGACCTTTCAGCAGGGAAAGTGTGGGTCCTGCTGGGTAGGGCTGGGCCCAACAAGAGGCTTAGTCTGAGCTTGGCCTTTTGGGCACTGTGGGCAGTATGTTTTCCTAGTGCTTGGTGAGGCCGCAGGCATGCTGAAGTACAGTGGGGGAAAGTTATTTCACAAAAGCTTAGGCTGAAGTCCACTAGGAGGGGAAAAGCAAGGAGGGGAAAAGCAAGGAGGGTGTTTTAGAATAATTAGTGTATGTGAGCAGTAGCTCTTCATATAACTCTTGCTTGCTCTCCTCTGATGCCAATTCTATTGCAGGAGCTCACCAGCCAAGATGAAAGATGTTACGTTTGGTTGTTTTGAACAGATGAGGAAATCTGCTTCTCTAAGGGAGGTTTTAGGCCATAGGAGTGGGAAGCAAAGACAACAACTGCAGAGAAGAGGGAAAGAGCATCATCTTCAGGAAGGTGTGAAGCAAACATGATCAGTGGTGTGCTGAGGGTGGAAAGGGTTCCTGGTGAGCCTCTGCCCAGGATGTGTGCCATCTGCTATGCCATAAATACCAAGGTTCAGGGTTTTCTTTTCTGCTGCAGAGACAGACTCAGTGTGTATTAGAAAACACCAAGTGGTTCCATGCTGTGTGTGTATTGCTCAGCATGGTGGTGTGAGCTGCTACCTGGCCTGATGTCAAGCTAAGCAGAGCAGACAATTGCTAAGCAGGTAGGGTTTTTTGTTTGGCTGTTTTGTTTTTTTTTCCAGTGGAGACATTAATTTGGATTTCTCAACTTAGTATTTCCTTCCTTCACTGCACCCCCTGGTTTTTCAAGAGGTTCATAACAAGGAGCTGTTAAATGGTTGGTGGTGTCAGAATTTCTTTGTGGGAAAAGAATTACACAGACACAGTTGTTCAGACAAGCACTGAAAGAAGGAGAGTGTTGCTTAGAGCACTGAACTAGAGTGGACACAAGACGGGGAAATGTGAACAAAAGAAATTCCCATTTTGTGTTTCTGTTCAGCTCAGGAAGAGAGAACCTGGCTTACATGTATTATAAAGAAACAAGATTTTATTTTATTTTTTTTGCCTCCTGCTGTCATCTGTTGTTTGGATCTGAAACTAATGAGCTGTGTGTGTGGTGACATGCTACTTTGATGAAGGCAGTGCAGAGCTTACACAGGAGCTGTGGCACTGTGTACCCTAATGGTGCAGGAGCCACAGGAGCCCAGTGCCCTTTCAGTGTGGCTGCTTTGGGAAGTGCTATACACTCTCGGCAGCACTCTGCAGTCAGCTGCAGAGGAGCTGGAGGGAGACAGGAATTTCACAGGCTAAGCCATAGCACATCAAGTCTCGGGAAGAAGTAATTAATGTTGTGCAGACGATCTGACTTCTGGTACTTCCTAATGTTCAAGTATTTGCAGCTTCAGCATTCTTTCTGACAGTTTTTTTTTTGTTTTGTTTTGTTTTTTTTTTTGAGCAGTATCTAGTAGGCTAGATGTTGCACTTGGAATGTCAGAAGTCATGGACAGAATAGATAATTTGAGTTAAGACTTGCTGACACGGATAGTAGAGTTCTGTTTCTTCCTAAAAGGGAAGCAGTACCTCTGAGTTCTACAGAGCTAGCTGAGAAATGTTCAGCTGTTTGTGAGACTGGGAAAAGGTGACACTTTCTTGTTCAGGAAGCAACCCAGGGTGAAATATTGAAGAGCTTCTGACTGCCCAGGACTGGAAAAGATACAATCCATTTTCAAAGTGTGGCAGCACCCTGCAGCTGAGCAGCAGCTGGTACAGGACTACCTTGTCGTCAGATGTTCAGAGAAGCTGGTAATTGCTTGTATCCCTTTTGACAGAGGGAGGTCATCCTGACATAGTTGAAAAGAAAAGCCCAGTATGGTGTGCAGGCTCTTTTTATATATGTGATTTGTGCTTAATGTTATTTTTCTCCAACCTTTCCTTTGTTCTGTTACTGGCTGTAGCATACGGTAAGCAATAGCTGCAGAAATTCTGAAAATGGTTCAGAGTAGAAACCTAGTAAATGAAAAGCCTGGAGGAAAATGTGAAATATTTGAATACTGTTCCTCCCTATGATGTAAAAAGAAAATGAAAAAGTTAAATATTGAAAATTTGAAATAATTTGAAACAACTGTCTTGCAAATATATTCTATTTAAAGATTTGCAAAAATGCAACAAATTCAAAATCATAAGGTTTTCTTCCTCCCCTCTTTTTATGATCACTTGTTTTGCAACCTGTGCTTGTTGGGTCACCTTTGTGCACATATCTCTTACCATACACAGAGAGACTCTGCCAGCAGAACATACACAATTTCAAACTCTAATGGAGTTATCTCTTGGCTAATGCGGTTTAGGAGCTGGCTGTGATTAATGTGCTATTGGGCCAAGCATTAATGCTTACCACTGCTCTTGAGACATGCTGTGGGTCTCTGCACACCATACAGCCATGAAATGGGGGAATGCCAGCCCCTGACATGCCTTGGATCTTAGCTAAATCTCAGTGTTGCAGAGTTGCTGTCTTCCAGTTCTCTGCTTTTTAGGTTTTACTCTCTTATTTTTGGTTCTTTTTCTCATCAGTCCTGGAGCTGTTAGCTATTAGAGTCTCAACAGTTACACTTATATGTGTTTTCACCTACTTTACAGGGATTTAGTTTATGTTCACAGGGATTTAGTTTATGTTCTTTCTTGCACCTAATTTTCTCAGCAAATTTGAAGCTTGAAGCTCACTTGGCAAGATGAATGTATCAAACAAATTTTGCAATCAAGGATCCTGTAATATTGAGTACTTTCATCAATAACTTGCTTGATAGATGGAAGAGTGTGCTGATAAATTTACAGCTGACATCAAAACAAGCTCTATGAACTGAAAAATAACCTGAAAAACTAATCTGCTGTTCGATAAGGCTAAGGATAATGTAATTGTGTACTGTGGTTTATTTCTAATTATATGGTGAAGAAAGAAAGTCTGAGAAGAAGCTGGGCAGATAAGGATTTAGGTTTTATAGCAGATCACAAACTTAAAAGTGAGTCAATATATCAGAGTCATCAAAAATCGCCAGCCAGCGGTTGTACCTAGGTAGGTTAAGTGCTGTTATATTCTCCAGTCAGGTTGCTATCAATAATGTTTTAATTTAGTGATTAGTTCATTCCCTGTTAGAAAAGTTTTACTTTTTGCTTTGTGGTTTTTTGGGGGTTTTTTTTGGTTTTTTTTTGGTTTTTTCTGAATGTATAGCAAATAAAGGAATTTATATGTTATAAAAACAACTTGCAGAAAACACTCTTAAAGGGACTCAGAACAGCAGAGTGCTGATAAAAGTACCTTGTGATTTATTTGGATCTGTAATATGTGCTGAACTATGCATTTCAAAGCAGATGCTTTTGTTTCCTCTAATATTAAGGACAGATTTAGCCCCTTTCTTTTAAGGGAGAAAGAGATTATTACCTACAGACTTCAGTAGCAGGGAGATTGAGAGCATGGGAAAATCTGCAAAATAGTTAAACTTTGAGAATCTGTATTTGGCTGTTGAGGTAGTTGTTGTTTTGCACCTGTAAGTCTGGTGTTTGTGGGGAGAGGTGGCTCACTCAGCTTTGTGTATGAGTGACCAATTCCCGCTGTGATTATAACAAGAGCATCTCCTGACTTCTGCCATGGGTCAGGCACCTGTGGCTATAGGACTCTGCAGACACAGTTAAAATTAGGTTTTGCTACAAAGATTCTGGTAATTTAAAAAATGCAGAGAATATGTAGTGCAAAGAGTGCTGGAAGTGGAAGAAAACATGACATTGAAACAACTGGATGTGGTAAGCTAAGCAGAAGTTGCAGCACGGTATTGGGTGTGCAGTTTGTACATGGAATCTTTCAGCATTTGAGGAAGGTCAGCCTATTCTACTGGCTTCCCTGAAGAAATTTTCTAAAAACTGTTTCTGTTTGTAGTTTCTTGTGTTGAGGAGACCTTTTATGTGCTCCTTCAGGTGCTGTGAATTAAAAATAAAGCAAAGAATTACAAAATCTGGCACTAATTCTGGCTGAGCAGGAGTCCTGCCACAGAGAAAAGGCAGAAACTAATGAGTAAAGCCACATAGTGGACAAGAGCTCAATTCCAAGAAGGAGTTTGAAAACCTTGGCTGCTGGAGGAGTCAAAGAAATCCCAAGGGCTTCCAGGGTTAAGCCAGGAGGATATTCTTTGACTGATTAGCATTTGCTAGGATGTGGGAGTAAGATGCTGTGGGTCAACCAGCTTCATGTGCCATGTGCCACCTTTGTTTGCCATTATAGACAGGTAAAGGGTTTGCCTTGTGAAATGTCTGTTCTAGTTAGAGGGAACTGGAGAAAATCTAGGAGCTATTTGGGATCTCTGAATTATTACAGCTAGACAGAAGACTGTAAAATCCTGTCATTTCCTTAGCTCCCTTATTGCACTGGAGTTTAGTTTTAGGCCAGTCCTGGTAGGGGGCTGGACAAAAGAGAAAAAAGGTGCTTGGGACACACTGCTCCATGGCCCAGCCATGCTGAATCTAAAGTAGACCTTCTCAATGCACTTCCCTGAGTATCCTTTGCAATGTAGAGAGCAGTGAGAGGTGCTTGGCTGGCTTCTTCCAGATGCACTGTGCTTGCAAGGCCAGCCATGGGTGAACTTTGGTGTGTAGAACTGAGGAGCTCAGAAAAGCACAGATCAGGGGTGGATTTGGTAGGTGAAAGAAGGTTTTGATTCTACCAGAACCTTTAGAATCTTTCCAGAAAAAGTTCAGTGGTGTTTCTTGCAACGTGATGAACTTGTGTTTCTTTGCATATGAGATCTGTTATACTTTGTCTCAGCAGTACTGGCTGTGCTTGAGTCTTCATTGTGCCATTTTCACAGTGCTGTTTACGGTGAAAACTCAGTTTACCACATTGCCTTGCTCCTGCTTCCCAAACCTGCATTTTCAACCACTCTTGTACAAGGCTACTGACTGCTTCCTTTTGTCCCTGTCCTACTTGGTGAGCGCTCCTCTCCTTTGCTGTGCACACAGTACCTGGATAACAGCTGCAGCTTTGTATCTGAGCTCTTGGCTGGCATGCAGTCAGTGCTTTGAGTGACATGTTCCATCAAACTGGTTGCTCAAAGGGATGTTTCTGAATGAGGTGCCTCCCTTCTGGCCTCTACTGCATCTTAAAGTGATGGTAGCTATTAGCATATTGCAGCATAGCAATGTATTTAATACACTCAAGAATGGGAAAGCTTCTCATTTTGTTGGATTAGGAAGTGTGGTAGGAAAGGAGGAGAAAAATTCAGAAAGCTTAAATGTGACAGGGAAGAGTTAAGAAGAGCAATAGAGAATCATTTGAAGAGACAGATTCACAGCAGTTTTCTCAGTGATAGAGTAGTTTTGGAGGTGTGAAATTATGGTAAGCATAATTCTCATTTGCTTCATTTTGTTTCTTTTGGGTGTGCAGTTCCTGAAATTGCAATGGAAAAGTCGTGGGTTTCCTCCTGGACCAACCCCATTTCCCATCGTTGGAAGCCTGTGGTGGATAAATTTTAGAGCTGATCATGGGAGTCTGAAAAAGGTATGCATTTGCAGATGTGAACTCAAGAGCTGTTGAGACAAAACCTAAAAATTAGTCATGACTGTTGATAGGTTAATGTGGTAGCAGGAGGACTCAGTCCTGAGGGAAGGTGAATCATAGAAGTTAAAGTAAGTGCCTGAACAATTTAAGTAAAATCTGCAGAGAGTATAAGTTATGCAAAAGCTAATGTGTACTAGCTAAACAGAACTGAGGACAGCAATTTTGCCTCAAAAGAGACTTCTGTTTTTAAGCAAAGCTTTTTACCTTGAAAGAAAAGAGTATTTCTCAGATTTTCCAGCACAGCTGCATACAGAAAATCTTCTAAACTAGGATGTTTTGAGTTCAGGAGCTATGAAAAACATACTAGTATCTCTGCTGCTACCATGGGATGGAAAGAAGATTGTATGCCCTCTCTAGCCAGAACCTTAGCTCCTTGTTTTTCTGAAGTCAAATCTGGAAATTGCTCCTTGCCAATGAGCTGAGGATGTAAATGGTGGTGAAAGGAAGGAACAGATGGGAAGAATTAGGTCTGTGCTAAGCATGTTAATACAGATTCTTCCAGTGCTCAACATCTTTCACTGAGCCAAAACTTCACAAAAGAATCCAATGTGTTGATATATTTTTCAAATTGCAACCTTTCCTTAAGTGCTAAGTATGACCTGCGTGTCAGGGGTTACTTGGCTGCAGCTGGAGAATGTTGGCTTCAGGGAAAAGGAACTTAAAATACTTTGGTGTTAAACTTTTCTGGTGGGTACGTGTCCATCACTGTGGAAGGATAGAGCTGTGCTGTTTCTTTCCTAGAGTCAGGGACTTTGTTGTTGCTGAATACCCAGAGGGTTGCCTGAGAGCAGTCCCCATCACTAGCCAAGCACACACGGGATCTGTGCTCAGGTGCTTCAGTTGACAGCAGTTCTGTATAAGAGGGGGAGAGGTCCTGCCATTGAAACTTGAAATCAGCAGTACTAGAAGGAGAGTTACAGCTGGAATATCGAATTCCAAGAAGTTCTAGTTATTGGCTGCGGAAATTGAAAAATGTAGTCGGGAATGGGCAGGTGAAGCTTCACAAGAAATCTAACAGGGATCTGTAAACACTCAGTCAGAGGCATTTTCCTAACAGTTAATATTGCAAAGGCAACCCAAGCCAAGTTTTAAAAAGGGGAAAAGCATCTATTCTTTCATTATTCACATTTCTGTGAATAGTGGGTTCCCAGAGAGAGCCCAGGCCCTTGCTGTGGTAAGCACTCTCACTGCAAAACGAAACCATCACCCCTTTCCACTTCCTGAACCCCTGAGTATTGTCATGCTGGAAGAAAGCAGCCCATCATGTGTGCATTTTGTTTCTCCCATGGGTATTTTTTTTGGCATTAATCTAACTTACAGTTGGCAAAAACCTATGGCAACATCTGTACCCTGTGGATGGGTCACAAACCTGTGGTGGTGCTGTATGGATTCCAAGCCGTGAAGAATGGTCTCACCACCAAATCAGAGGATGTTTCTGGGCGACTACAGACCTATGTCTTCAACAAAATGGCAAATGGAAAGGGTAAGGTGTTCCTATCTTTGGAAGATTTCACCTCTGACTTTGTTTCTTCTCATGTTTTCTGCACTTAGTTCCCAATTCACTCATTCTGTCTCTTCAGGGAAAATGATATAATTCTGCAGGATTACTTAATTGTCTCCAAAGTCCCACTGTCAGGCATGTATTTCAGAATCTCAACAAAGCAGCAATATTTATACCTAGCTAGGTCTTGCTTTTCCATTTGTAGTGTTGTCTAAGCCTGTGTCCTGATTTGAAATAATCTGGAGCTTTCAGCATCCTCTGCAATCTGAGGCTAAGGTAATTCTTTATGCTCCCGGTTGTTTGTTCACAGCAAAGGCTGCTGTAAGGAAAGCATGTACAGAGCTGCTGAAAAAGGTCTAACCTTTTGCGAAGGTCACTGCAGCTTTAAATGCATTACCAAGGCTGTAGGTGCAACATATCCTTGTTCAGAACTTCTTATCGTGCCATCACTTACATCAGACACTCCTGAGTTATGGTGGATGGCGAATAAAGAGGGTGCTGTGTTTAAAACAGAAATGCTTGAACTTGTGTCCCCCAGCCTCTTGTCCAGACGTTATAGAGCAGATGCCTTTATCTTCACTCATGCTTTGTTACGTGTGGACTACAATCTGGAAAGCTTTAATTTATAATACTAACTAATGTAAGTAGAGAAAAACGTCTTTAAGGAATAGAAATGATTAAGTCTAGGGCCATTTCAGTCCATTTGGAAGGGCCTTTGTTGTCATCTTTTGTTTGGGTGATGTGGAGTAAAGTAGCTATGCTGTGACATACTGCTCTTGCAGTGGCCGTTTGTAGCAGGGCTGGCTTTAACAAACGGCTGCATCACAGCCTCATGTTCACATATCTCTGCAGCACAAATACCTGCCGGGTGAACTGGGTCCTTTTCTGTTAGCCCAGGCTCCCAGGATGACAGAAGGAGTAGGGGAGAGTTATTCCATGCTGTGGTCAAGCAGCTGTCTTGGGGATCAGGCTGGCTTTCCCAGGGGAGGCACGGGCTGGTGTTGGAGGGAAGTGGTACCCCACCTCCCTCCACCATTTAATTTACATGGATTAAATGGCTTATTTAATGGCTGGGCTGTCTGCTGTAGCACAGACTCACAGCACAGGGGCTTGGGATTCCTTTCTGTCCCACAGCAAGACCTCTGGTCCTAGGAAGCTGTTTATGGATTGGATGACGCTTGCTCTTCCTACTCTGGTTCTCACTAAGTGGCCCTTGCCCTGGCTTCCGTGTCTTTCCACGAGGGACCTGGACTAGGACAAGATCTCAATATCTTGTGTAAACAGCCTGGTAGAAGCAGGATCTCCTAAAAGCCAGAGACTATGTAGCACAGACAGCTTGTGCTCAGAACCAGTTGTCAACTCTAGCCATTGAAGAGTTTTTCTTTTTGAAGCAGTACCAACAGGGGGATGTGATGATCTCCAGAAGGTTTGCATAAGGTTAAGAAGCACAAGCACAGGAAACACCCAGAGCTCCCCAGAAATCTCTGTTGGCTCTGAGTAGCTTGGTGAGAGACACCATCGTATTTCCAGGTGGTAGGACACTGAATTTACTGTTTTTTGAGGAAAACTTTGCCACTCACTGCAGAGTTAACATGTGCTAACATCTGCAAGAACATAATGTCCATGTGGAGGTGTTGGCAAACGTAGCCGACAAGTAAATATTAATTGTATTAGAAGATGATACAAGATGATAAGTGAGAACTTGGAAGACACTGAATGAGGTGGGCTATAAGCCTTTCCATGTGAATCGGGGTTTGCATTCATTTCTGTTCAAAGCATGGGCAAACAGAAGACAACACCAACCCATGCTGTCTTTGCAATTTGTAGGAGGCTGCTGGGTGGTTTTGAGTAGCGGCCACTGATCTTGGGTGCTTTCG